TACATACATTTAGATAAGCTTTAATTAGTGGATTTTATTTTCGAAGTATTCGAAATTTCATATTCGAAAAAAAAAATTTCGAATGTATTCGAAATAGTGAACTATTCGGTATTGGCCATCCCTGGGAACAATGTAACAACTGCATGTGGACATTGACGGTAAACATTTTCCCAAAAAACATACGACAGAGTCCGGCAATGCCCCGGGTAATTGGGGAAACCTCAGAATATTTGATAACACTTGGCATCGCATGAAAACCACGGTGTAAAAATCTGTTAGATTAGAATTAAAACGGTTCTTTGGGAAAATATACACGAACTTGATAAAAGGTTGTAGATTGTAAGGAAGCGTATTCGAAAATAGTAAGATTGCTTCTGAATATACATAAATGTAAAATCCTATTTAGTACCTATATTCCAGCAGTGTCTTTTTACTTTTTAATTCAATATCAACATATTACAGATTGCTCCATTATTAATTATTAACAGTGCATGAAAGTAAAATAGGAAAAAAACGTGTACGGGATCACATCATTTAACTGCCTTTTATAATGCTAGCTCGAAACGTTTCAAAATTATTTATGAAACGTCTAAATATATATTATTGCATTGAGGCGATGTGGACGGAAACACAAAGCTTACTCGTAGATTTTAGCCATACTTGTCAAACACCTAAGGGCCAAATCAAGCAAAGCTGCTTTGTATATTCGCTAACCCAGCGGATACACTGGTACAAAATAACAAACCAACATAATTTATCGCAGCCTGGCAGAAAATCCGGTACGCGTACCTGCGGGCGGGACACTGGCTTAGCCTGCAGTAGTTCGTAAATGAAAAGATGATACCTAACGTCACTCACTCATTCGAATGTAACATGATCAAAAAAGCTATAAAAAGGAAATATTATTGGCGCTCGTAACACTCTTACTAAATTATATTTACTGATACCTACCACATGAATGTTTTACCGAGCGATTTTAGCGCCGTTTGCACTATAAATGGTCGAGTTATTGCTGAAAATAAGGTCATTTTATCCGAAGTTAAGCACTTTTCCAGTACCTGCTGACTATCACCAATTTCACTTTCCAACTTTCAAATTCAAGTCATTTGTGTGCGCATGTTTGACAGAAATTAGGCGACCCCGGAAAATCTTCACGCGACCCCGCTCGGGGTCGCGACCCACAGTTTGGCCAGCACTGCTTTATACAACTTGATGTAAAATAGGCGAACAGAATTAGTTACCTCCATATTGGTACACACACACTTCTGGAGCGCCATTTGCTCAAATCAAAGTTACGAACCTTCAACTAAAGAGTGGAAATTGCAGTAATAGAAAGGTTTCAAGAAGCCACTAATATGCTGAGAGCTGATTATAGATACATTCCTGAGATAGTGATGTCCATAGAAAGTGGCTGAGGTGAGACAGCAAACAATCCAAGACAACACTCAAAGGGAAATAAATAGATAAAACAAAATTTCACATTGCTACTAAGATATCAGTCACAGTATGACATTCTCACTGCTACATAATAAGAAATGAAGTGGCATGACCCCCTCCATAAACCTATAAAAAGTTGCGAAAACAAATAACACTTTAAATTATTTATATTTAAAACCTGATTTTGTTACACCCAATCTCCTAAAAAGGAGGCATATCTATTACAGAGTGCCACCGTCTGACTAAATGATGACTACTTCATTAAATATGCATGGCCACTGAGGAAATTAGGTGACATAAGATTTTTATTTTGTAAGGAAATTGACAGCTTGATCTGAAAGGTATTCCAAGTCTGAGGCACATGAACTACATAGAAGTGTACAAAACAAATATATATTATTATGGAGAATGGAGATTATGAACTACCGGTACTCTTTTATAAATGAATTATATAATAAATTAAAAACGGTACCTGATGAACTACTAAATTTGTAATTTCACTGTTTTATATGGATGTCCACCGAGCAATAAAACAGATATTAATAAGATATAATTTTTACTTTTGAGTGCAGCCCTAAGTGCCAAAAAATTACGCCCACATAAAACAAAAATTAGAAAATAAATAAGGTACATATTTTACGAAGTGCGGCAGTGTTTTCCATTTTTCTTGGTGTATTTACAAAATATTCAGAATTTGAAGTATAATTATCAGGTATTCAGGTTCAAATTGTTCCTATTTTTCACAGTGTAATACAAAATTGAAGAGGGGATTTCCAGGAAAGTAGATCATGACTCATAAAAAAATGAGTGACTAAGTCTTCATTGATTGTGCAGCATACTCAAAGACTCTTTTACCATAAATGGAAAATTGAAAATTATGTCACCAATAACTATTCACCAGAACAAATTCACACACACTCACTCATAAAAAGTATTTATGCACGTAATGTTCCGATCAGAAACTGGATTAATGATGTTGGGTTGTATTCTATTTACTGGATTAAGTATGAATTACCTTAAAGTAATTATCCCAAAGTAAATTGCAGAAGTTGGGATTTAACTTTTTAATAGTTATTGAGTTAGGATAAGAGTAAATTTTATGTTTATTTATTTAAAACAATTAGTCCCTAGTTAGAGATATCTCATATCAGACATGGAATAATAACCAGACAGTCGTTATGATTAGGCATTATGTTATTTTACCATTTCAAAATTGACAAATTATGGTAAGAATATTCACGATCTAATCAAGTACAACAACAGAGATCATAATTCAGTAATTAGCAAGATTCCAATAAATATATAAAATGAAACAAAAAAGTAATAGCCATAATGTCATCCCAAAACATTTAAAAAAAAACTAATCACTAAAATACACTAATTAGGAAGGAATTCCTTAACACTCACTAGCCCAAAAGCTATGTTATCTAGACTACATAATTAATAGCTGAGATATTAACACGCTTCCTCGCTACAGTAATCAATACCAGAATTCACCGAAAACAGAGCATGAAACCAGAACATCTTTAGATTGGCTATCAATACAAACAACGTCATAATGCATGCGATCAAGACATGATCAGACAGAAATAAATCAAGTCGACGCAAAACGTGTCAAAACTTCACATCTGGGAAATATCAACTTTAAGCAGGAAAAATCAATAAAACCGAACTGAATTTAATTCAATTTTAAAGTGTCTACATTTTACAGTTTTGGACCAAGATTATTGACATTATCGACATATTCTGATATTGCAGATTTAAATCCTAATCTAAAATTAGTTTTAAAGCTCTAGCGGTCTATTTGACAAGGTTTCTGGTCCCCGTCCAACTAATTGGAACATCAAATTGTAACATGATAAATCAGATCTTATACCAGTATACATTAAATGCCATGACATCATATACAGATATATGAATTGAAGACATTACAGAATAAATTTTACACTACAGAACAAAAACAATATGCGCACATTTTATGGATCCCAGGATAACTAGCAAAAACTAAAATAAACTCCAATTTCTGAATTCAATTATTTGTTGCTGATAATTTTATTTTTGCTGTTTATTTTTACAGTATTCATTAAACAGTCAGATCAGCCCATACAGCCATAACGTATTCATACTAACAAACAATATGAACCTAATAACCGCCCTAATAATTAGGTACCGGTACCGGTACTGGATTATGACATTTTTTTGAGATTTCTAGATTTATTTATTTCTAGATTTATACAACTAGCTGCAATATTGGAAATTTATGCCAAATTCACTAAAATCAAGCCGCCATTAGCCTTGCCATTCAATCCAACCTTAGATATTCAGATTCGGCAACGAACCCAAACACCCGCAGCCGGCTCATAAAAAGCATGTGAACGCCGGTCATGGCCAGCCGGGATATGGGGAATTTCTCTTTCGTGTACAGATGAAACGCAATGCAAGATCACCATCTAGCGGTTTGTATATATTCGGAGTTTCAACTCGCGCTGGAGCTTATGAATATTACCGGTATGTACATGCCTTATAGTTATAATTACATTAAGTATGCAACTATTACAATATTGTTTATTTTATGAAACCAATAACAACTTTCTTATTGAATTACTCTACCTGGGAATAATATAAAAGAACTCCTTTTCCTTGCTTGTTAGTATCTTTTATTTATATTAATGTAACGCATTCTATCAAATTTAATAGCAATGCACTGTTTGCTTTCTTTATCAACTCCATGCTTCCGAAAACAAATAACTGGCTAACTGATTTCATACCCGACCTAGACTGGTAACCGGACGAGAGGCCGTAGTTCGCCATATAATTAATCCGTCTTATTGGTTTTCCTCTCCCCCGAGATAAATATGAAAATCCTATCCTATCATTTATTTAATATTATCTGAATGTGCTCCAATCATGATCGCTAGTACACGTTTGCGAACAAATATATATGTTATGGACACAGGAGTCGTTTATTTCCTATGGAGATAGAGAGATAGTTGTGAACGCTGTGAGAATAATACATACCGGTTGACAAGGGTTTAACGCTTGAAGACCAAATTATCAAGCCATAGTCGCTGAAGGGGAATTTGGGAGATTTGGGCGTTAAATTTTGTTTGGAGTTTTATTATGCCTTGTAACTCAATAGTGTTTTTTGCTATTTTGAGAACATTCGTGTTATAGTGTATAACGTCTATCGAAATATAATTGTTGCTCATTAAAAATTATCTAGTCTCCAGTACCGAGGCTCGTACTCAGCTTGGTATAATCACCGAAATTCACAACATAAAAGCAAATTAACCATTAAGTGGTTTTAATATTCTGACCAGACTAATTTACTTATGGCAGTATCAATAAAAGTCATAAGAATTTCCGAATGTACAGAATTTATTTCGCACAAAGTAAGAACGAAGCAAAATATACAAAAATAACTCTAAAATGCGTGTTAATTACAAAGAAAAATATTTTTTTCATCGAACTGAAAATCATTCGTTAGGTCAAACAAGCAACAAAGGTTAGAAATCAAAGAAACATAGCAATTAGTTTCAGTGCAGTTGCAGCGAATGTTGCTTCTAAAAATATTGACTATTTTTTTCAATTTCTCACCACGTTTACTCCTTGATTTGCCATGAAATAAAAATACATACACAGTATGTAGAATATAAAGAAATATATATAAAAAAAAATTATTTCTTTTTGTATTTATCTTGCAACGATTTTTGGTATTCATGATATATATATAAAGAAATTTGAATCTCTAGAAAAAAAACTCAAAAAATTGAACAAAGCATAGTACTTTATTTCCAATTTTAAAAACGTTTAAACAAATTCATCGCAGTTGACAAACTCAGATGTTCTGCAACATTATTCGCTGAACGCGATGAGCAGGTTTGCTGGGCTCAATGTGCACATGAAGTAGACCTGTGGTTCTCAAACGGTGGTGCCGTCCACGTATTTTCAACGTGTTTTTTGAGTGAAACAAACTTTTGCCTTACCATCTGTTATTTGTAGCTTATTGTTAGCTAGATATTTTTGAGGTGGGGCGCAGGACTTGACAAATTCTTAAAAGGGGGCGCGGCTTAAAAGTTTAAAGTAGACAGTGGTTACCACGTCGTCTTACAACTATGAGCAAGCACATAACTCCTGTCCCCAGCAATACATCAATTTGACAGAATGTGTCGAACCGGCAAGATGACCGCAGTATTTTGTGTTGCGCAACTTGATAGGCTACTAGCATAAAGCCTTGCTTGGAACTGAAATCTCGCTTCAGAATACAGATAGTAGCTCTAAATATTCAATCTACTGGACTGGAAAGGGAAATTAACATAAAAACGCAGTGTTCTATAACCAGTTGATAAAGCGAGTCATTGTTGTTGATCCAACTGCGTGTTTGATATCCTTTTTGGTCGACGTGAAGTCCATTGCCGAGATCAAATCACGTCTTTGGGAATTTCTTTATCTTTGCATGTCACATCTAGAAGGAAAACAGTAAGAATCAGTTCTATTTTTTCTGTTTTGAAATATAGGCGACGTATGGCGTATATTTAAAATAAATGTTTAGTATAATTTAATATAGCTTTCATTACGTAAAATTATGCTTCGCATGAAACTTTCCATCTTATCTCAGCTGTGATGTGGCATGTATTTTTACATGAATTTCTTTCATTTTAATTTAGCGCTCGTTAAATAGTGTTGAGTTTTTAAATCATCCAGTGCTCAACTCTAGACCTCTGTAATGAAAACAAATTAATATGACTCACCGTTTACGGGTTTATCTAATTTCTTTTTCCAGTGTCCTTTAATATACCCCGATCGCACACAGGCAAATATAAGTAGACAGATAATCACAATGAGTAGGAAACCTGTAAAATAATTGCAATGAGTTGTTAGATAATTGCAATGAGTTGTTAGATTACCTTCCTGAAAATCTTAGTTTGCAAAAGGAAAGAGAAATTAAAAGAATGTAAAAACTGATTCAGGGGAGCGATCAACGAGTTGAATTCAGAAACCTGTTGTAATTTTCAGACCTCAGAGTAGCGTTGTCGTTACAAATACATTTTCAGGTTTAAATTTACAAATTTATTTTCACCCAAGAACTTATGGGTGACAGGAAAATATAAAAAAAATCATTCAATTTGTTTAATGTCGAATTAAAAAAGTTAATGGAGTTAAGAATAGGACAACACGTGAGCAAGATTTTTGTCCTTACTGACAGTTGGAGCCTCGGAAACCGAAAGGGTACGAATATAAATGGCCAGCAAAATGCCTATGTTTACCAGAGACTAAGTTTATAGTAATTAGTATTTATCGTTTTCTCTGGTTAATGGGGGATTGCATGTTTTAGCTAGACTTGTCGCAGTCGCAGTACGATGCTTGATCAAACTACCTTAATTGATAACGATTTTTTATTCATAAACATGGACTTGCAAAATATGGAATATGAAGTTTACTAGTGTGACAAAAACATCAAATTGAAAAGTCAACTATCTAGAATTTAAACTGTGCAGGCAAACGAAACAGCAATGATTAGCCAAATTGTTCTGTCAGTATGTTCAAAGAATAAATGACAGAAAAAATGGAAACGAGTTTCATTCTTAAATATGAAAATGCGAAGTTCACTGGAGTGACAAAAACATTAAGTTATCTCGTGTTTGCAAGAATTAAAATTGTTCAGACCAAACAGTAATGATTAACAAGTTTTACTGACCAATGAGTTCAAATGAACAATAACAAACGACCAAAACGAACAAAATTAGTTCCCCCATATTAGTAAACACACGTCTGAAGCGCCTTGCAATGTACTTTATTCAAATTTATAACTCACCCACAATCACAGGAATAACGATAAGTAAGACATTGAACTGATCTTTCTTTACGTTAAATAAAACTTCCGCAGGTGGATAAGTTGATAATACTTTGCATACGTACTGACCAACGTCCGAGTCCTGGAAGTTTCTGTTCAACAAGAAGAAAATTAATCATATAGAAAAAGTAAAAACTATTTTATTCAAAATTTAATATATTCATATATACAAAGATTAGCTAATAGAGAGAAAGTTTAAAATTGAATTTCCGGTAGTTACTTGCCACCTTTGCTTGAGACAATTAATCACACCCTGGCCTAACCCTAGTGCTAAATGCTTTTATCAATACGGTGAACAAGATAGCGGTATTGTATCATATACGTGGAAGACAGAATAACAGATGACATCAACACGGTCAACGTTGCCACGCCATAAATATGGGATTGAGAAAAGTGAACACCTCCTTTTTTGAGGTTAGGGGGTAAAATGTGATTTGAGACAAGTGAACACTTAATTTTTTGCAGGTAGGACCTGCTGTAGTTAGGTATAAGATCAACACGTCTGTTATTTTTACCGATGTTAAAATTTATGAATAATAGATGCCTAAAATGTCATTTTTAGGTATTATTAAGCAATGCTAGAGTTCCATGTACTTACTTTATCGTCAACGTTGAATTGTATAAGATTAATCCTTCACGTTTATCTTCTTCAGCATCTTTGTAATTTGTATAACATTTTGTTGCCTCCTTTGCATTGCTTAATCTAAATAAAAAAGAGAGCGATGCTTAAATTTATGAACACGGGATCAAAGTTCGTAAAAGCGCTTTCATAAAATAAAACAGCAAAATTTTGAACGCTCCCTAAGCATGTGAACTAAGATGGCGGACTCTGGAACGTAGTATGTGTACCAGGCTAGGGTTAGGCCATAACTTTATTCCAATTTTCCTTATTTTATTTCTATTACGAGTTCGGGGACTAGAAAAGTGACTCCCGTAGTTTTTGTACCTCAAATTATGGCCTAACCCTAACCTGGTACACATACTACGCTCCGGTGTCCGCCATCTTGGTTCACATACTCCAGGAGTACGAAATTTTGAATGAAATAAGGGTCCCAATACAGGACTAAGAGAAAACTTGGCAAAACACTAATACTAATAAGTTTTTCCCACCATCTTGTAATACCTAAAATTTGATATCAATTCGTCCATTAGCAGACAATAGCGATTTTTTCATCACAATAGCAATTCTAACAACGACGATCTATACGTACAGTAATAAGTACTCGTGGAAACCATATTTAGGTTTTAGGCGTTTGGTCAGCTTTGAAAATCTCTTAGAAAATTAATCACAAGTTGGCGCCATAAGACGAAGCAAACGAGAGAAGTTGCAGAAAAAACGAAATATTCTAAAATATGATTTCAATATTTGGACATAGAGCTAAAAAATGAGACAAATAAACTAAGTAAAATCAAAACACTTACAAGTTACACTCATGCTTTCCCGTTGGGTCGCTGTTTCCTGGATAAAACACGTAATTGACACATATATTGTCGTTCGATGTTCGACTGCAAAAGTTTGTGAAATAGCAAGAGTTAACATATAACTAATTACCGAGTTTATAAGACTTACAAACGTTTTGAACCGGACGTTTGTGAACACGAAAGATCGAATGTGCGTAACACTTCTATTAATAATGCGCGAGGCTTGATCGCCGTGATTGACCGCCGACGCAGATCGTGTTGTTTCTTTTGCGCTTGAACTTTTGAGTTTGCTCCTACTTTCATTAATTAAAACAACGAAATAATATTACAGTATACCAAATAAATATTTCACTTCTTTCATTAAAGAAATATGCATCATGGCTATTTGATAAACGTATCTCTACACTTGAGCCTGCGTGTGCCAAAACGTCTCTATACAGATTCAGATATTTATTTTTATAATGCAAGAATCGATGTAAAACAATGAACTAACATAAAAATACTAAAAAACGGAAAACATTGAATCTAGCAAGTGACGAAGGGCCACGAACGACTCAGTGAGTCATCCAGTCAGCGACACCTTACTGATGATTTCAAGCATCAAATATTAACGAATTTTTGTGAAATCAAGATGTAAAAAGCGTCATAATTTCTGCAGCATTTCTATAATTACTTTCCAATATAAGTGCTTCACTTCAAAATAGCGAAAAAAACAATACAAAAAAGAATCTTACTTTGTTACATTCTTGTACCAAATTACTGCGAATGAAAGTTGGAAATGATCGGTTCCACCCCATCCTCCACATGTCAATTGCACATCGTTTCCTATTGATGCTTTTGTTGTAGTTGAGGTTATTTGACGAATATTTGGAGGCCCTCGTTGTTGACCGTCTGCACGGAAAAACGAAGTATTGTTGAAATGAATGTGACAGATCATAGAAGCCGAGATTGGATTCAAAATTTAAGAATTGGTTTGCTTTTGTATCGAACTCATTAACAACAGTTTTAAGACATCTAAGCAAATCCTGCCAAACTTATAACTCAAAAACGAACCAAGACAACGAACGGGTTCCCCGATATCACGACATTCCAAGATCTCGCGAAAGCATGCGAATAGTATCAGTATCAATAATTTATTTTTTCACCATTTTGTAAATACACTTTGTACGAGCAATGTACAAAACAAACTTAAAAGTGGTATTTCAGATTGAAGGGAGGCGCCAAGAACCGATACCGATTATTAAGCGGAAACACTCGTGATTAAGTCTAACAGTAATCAGGAGAAAGAAAAAAAAGTCAAACATTAAAAACATTAAAATTATTAACATTTTTACAGCATCAACAAAAAACAATCCATTACATAAAAAAATATGACTCCGAAATGCGAACCTCACAAATTCCACCACTGCTTACGAGACCTGCTGCTATGAAAAAAAACTAAGCAATGGGGGAGTGGGGACTAAGGTTAGAAGATAATATGGATAGGTTATAAATCGTGTATAGGCTTGGAAACAGATGAGTAAGACTGAGGCACTTGATCGATATTTCTTTCAATGCAACTATTTTTATTTTTTTGGCTACATTTTTGCTACTCATGGAACCCAGTGTGGTGTGGTAGGCTGACAGTGGTGGAGTTAAAGGATTCGTTCTTGGAATGAAGATATGCAAATGCAAGTGATATAAATCGAGAAATGAGCCTGGAACAGAGATAAGAAGGGCTGAGCAACTATATGTTAGTTGTTCGGTTCAATGTTTGCTGCTCATGGAAATCGAGCCCAGCGTGGTGTGATGGGCTGACAGTGGTGACATTAAGGAATTTGTTTTTGAACTGTAGTGATATTCAGGAAAAGCGTTACGGTATTGTTTTGTGATTTAGTTCGTTATTGTTTTCTCACACGAGGGAATTTATTGCTAGCGAGTTCGATACAAAAGAAAGGTGAAGTATTCGTACCAAGATGGCGCACAACCTGAACATAGTATGTAGAGTTGTTCAGGTTGCCAAAAAAGAACCCGTCTGTAACATTTTAATTGAATCACGGCATTGGCAGTCACCATTTTTTTACATTTCCTTTGCAACACTTGGCTTACAATCAGTAATATTCAAAAAATACAAGTATAGGAAAAAATAGACGAGTATACAAGTTCAAACTTACATTTGACACAGACATTACTTCTTGATACAAATCGTTCTCTTCCGTTATATACGACTGAGCATGTGTAGTTTCCGGCTGATGAAAAATCGGCGTCCGCAATCTAGAGAATAGAACAAGATCATTATATATTGGAAAATGACTTGAACGAACACTTCATTGCTAATAATTAGTAAAAATATAACAACAATTTAAAATCTAGACCCTAGATCAGTGATTCTCAATCTTTTTAAGTCGCGCCACCTTCTTAGAATCTGTCAAGTTTCGCGCCCTACCTCAGAAATAACTAGCTAACGATATGCTACAAATATGTATGTAGCCTATGTATGTATGTATGTTTATTCGCCTCGTAAAGCAAAAACACAGGAGTTAGTAAATATCAACATTGAAGACGGGATGTATACACAAGACCATACTGGCCTAAAACACATGAAAGCGCGGCATACACCCCTTAGGATAAGCATAAAATAACAGACAATAAGGCGAAAATGTGTTTTATTCAAAAACACGTTGAAAATACGTGTAAATAATAAAGAACTATAATCAATAAAGAAATGTAAATATTCAAAATAAGGCGGACAATATCAAATCTAACACATATTTTTATTTTAATTAGCTTCACGCCCATTCAAAAAATTGGGTGCAGAAGTATGCGCACCAAGATGTCGAACAACCTGAATCCTAACCGGTACACACAAGCATTTTCAGGTTGTGCGCCATCTTGGTGCGCATACTTCTGGAGGTCCAAAAATTGTCTATGCCCCCCTTGTGGGGCGAGCTCTGTCGCTTGAGAACCACCACTCTGGAGAATTGAAACAAAACATTAAATATCGAAAAAGGATTATGGTGAAGACACTTTATTGCTTCTATATTGTAGTAGATAGGACTATATACGTCTCAATCGGTGTTCGAATTGCTTTTTCCGAGGAAGGCATATTGACCGCTATAGACAGCATGCTTGATTCAGCATGACGTGCACTGCCAATCAAGCGTGGTTTGCAATGTAATTGTTCTGTTATTGTTTCCGAATTTCTAGTGCGTGTCAATATGGCGTATCTGTGATGTTATTCTAAGAAAACGTTCAAATTTGTTTCATTTGGATTCGCCTATTCGTTAAAACGGAAATTATATTTATAATAACGATTGATATGTACATCTCGTGTCTTATAATTTTCGAGTACCATTTTGCTCTGGTAGCTGATCTGATAGATTTTGAGCTGAATTTCGAAAACTGTGATTTCAACCCACGCGCATAAAAAAGGGTCTGCAACTTTCTGAATATTTCTCACTATATTCTCGTCAACAATTTTGCGTTAAGTAAACGTTCTGTGATTGATTCACATTCGCGCCTCGGTGAACTAAAAGCCAGGAAGAACGTAAACATTTTGGGTGCTTTGCGGTACAGAGGAAACCAATGCATGTACGTTTGCGGCTCCATATGTGCCGCATAAAATATTTGGCGAGTTCTATTATCATCTATTCTACTGCGACTCGAACTGATAACATTGCAGCGTATGTACTGCGACATGGTTACATTAAGTTTGTTTTTTTGAATCAATAACTAACAAAATCACCAAAAGCCACCATCTTTTGTAGGGAGTCCCCGCCAAAAAACAAACACCACCGACACCACTCAGAATAAAAGAAAAATTAGTAATTATCCTGTTATGGTTAGGGTAAGGAATACAGAATGTGCTGGAAGTTCAAATTTTCAATCTTTTCCAACACGAACCAGAACTGGATAATTACTAATTCTTTATTTTAAAACGCGTCGGGCGTGTTTTCTCAAATCTCACATTCTTGCATTAGTGGCGAGGGCTTTTGGTACTCCCGTAGTATGTGTACCAGGTTAGGGTTAGGTCATAATCTTATTCCGGGGTTTCAATCCCTTTAAACAACTCGATGTAAAGTAGGCGAACAAAATTAGTTACCTCCATATTGGTACACATACTTCTGGAGCGCCGGGCTTATTACAAAACATCCCAGATTCCTAATTGCTAATAGTATTTACAAACAAAACAAAAAAAAAGGAACTTTTCATTGCCGATATCATATATTTTGCACTGAGCGATTGTTATCATATATCCATCTCAATTTCTGACACAGCTTGTTTTGAAAAAATGATTGCAAATAGTTTCGGAATTCCGACACAGTGATTTGCCTGCGTAACGCGGCGTAACGCCGTGAAACAAAATGCTATACGTCACGCATTTGTTGATATCCGAAAATTGCGATGATACACTCAACCGTTCATTCAGAAAAAAGAGCAAATACGATGCCGATATGAAGTAAAATAGCATTTCTCCCAACACGAATCTTAAGGTGTTTGTGAAGCATGGATTGTAGGTGCATCGGGAGCAATATTCATTTTCGAATTCCTATTTTCGGGGCATATTGTTTGTTTTGGAAAATGATTGCAAATAAATTTAAAGTTTCGGCTCATTGATTTGCTGACGTAACGTGGTGTAACTTCCCAAAACGAATTCATTTATTGATATCCGAATATTTCGATGACTCACTTATCCGATCATTCAGAAAAAAGGAGCAAACACAATGCCGTTTTGAAGTAAAATAGCATTACTCCCAACACGAATTTTGTTTTGGACTGACGTTAAGTATGGAAAGCGTATGCATCGCGTCCTTCGTGAACCAAATTCAGTTCCAAATCGCAATTTTTCCGGGTATCTTTATATCAGTGGTTCCAAATAAGTGTCCTGCGGGCCAACTAGGTCCCGCTTAACGATTTAATATGACCCGCCGAAATAGTTTAACACTTTGTGTTTTTTTCGTTTCAGCGTTCTAAATACCGCCAAGTACGTAGCACGGTATCTTATTCATACGTACCAGTACTGGTAACGGCCCATGGCGGGCGCTCCCCTACCCCGGCCCGCGAATAGCATTCCGCTTTTGATGTTGGCCCCCGGTGAATCAACTATGGGAACCACTGTTTTATAGGGATACTTTTGCTAAATTGTTATTGCCGCTGGACTTGTTGTTGTGAAAATGACATTTTTGTCTTCGACTATTGCACAAGTAGATTTCAATACTTGAAGATATTTAATACTTCAAGTTGGAAGTAATTTGTGTTTATAATCTCAATATGACTTGGCGGTGTGGCGCATCGTGCTAATCGTTAAGAATATGCTCGCCACTGCACCTCTGATTACCCTGCGTGGTTCCTCAGGTTCGAACCCCAAGCGGGAATAGTTATGTGCGAGAGAATTGCTGGTCTCCTCGCCCCCGTAGGATGGTTCACGTAACCGCTGGTCGGTTACGGCTTCCTTCACAATCAAGTCCATGCTTCCGAAAACAAATAGCTAACTAATCCCATACCCGACATGAACTGGTAAATGGATGAGAGGCCATGGTTTGTCATATGATTAAGCCATCGTATCGGCTTTCGTCTCCTCTGGGATAAATATGTTATTCCTTCCTTGTAAATCCTAATATTAAAATCGAGACTAAAAATTAATCGCCTTACGTTTTGTCCTGTTAGTACACTAGTGTACATACATCTTTAATCCTTCCGTACAAAACAATTAAGCTTTCATATAGTCAAAACGACAGTGTGACGTAAAATTATTTACGGACGCTTTGGAGTACAAAACGCCCTTATATAAATACGAGATTTTGTTGTGGATTAGTAAAAAAGTATAAACATGTACACACAGTGCCATAATAAATACAATGACGCAATAAATCAATGCACAATGGAGATCTTTTCATCTTATCTTATCTTAACCTTTTATTAGGTCATGTTTACACCATTACCGTGAATTAAATGTCTGATCAGAAGAGTCACGGGCAAATTCCGCGGCCCAAGTCTTTATTTAACTAACGCTCATAATGAGTACCGATTTTTTTACCGCCAGTTCTTTGATTTCGAAGTTGATTTGTCTAAGTTGAACACTAATGGAGATAACTAATTTTGTTCGCCTACTTCACATCAAGTTCTGTAAAGAAATTGATTATTATGGAAAAAGGAAAGTCCATAAGAAGGCTTAATCTTATGGGTTAATCATGATTACCTATCCATGGCGGGTATTGGAATAGTTGGCCAGTTATTTGTTTTTAAATGCACGGACTTGGAGGAATCTTGGAGGAATGCGTATCCGACCAGCGCTTGAATTCAGTAATCCCCCAGTATCTCGAAATCCCCCAGTATTCTTTCGAAACTCATTTTATATTTTGATACATCGCTCAAGTATTAAAATGAAAGCCCTTACCTTCATTTGGCCCAAAACATCATTGCTCTCGAAATCATCGCTTGAAATTTGGGATTCAACTCTGATCTCCTCACAGCCTTTGTACCATTTAAGCTCGTATTTTTCGTTCTCAAAGTGGAATTTCTTCTTGCCATCTAGAAAGTACAAAACAGTGCAATAATCAAAGGCGATAATAGCCTTGTGATTATTGTAATGGCCCAGTAATGCTGTCATTGGTTGTATCAGCGGGTGAAAGTAAGAAATAATATTATTAAGATATGACTAGTGTTGGCATAGGATCGGGTGAACCAGTTCGTGTTTTTTTTCTGACGTTAGACGACCGCAGCAAATGGTTCAGGTGCATCGGGAGTCTAGGGATGTAAGTTTCAGAATTTCGAATCGAAGCGATTCGAATCAACATCAATTCGAATCGATTCGAAGCAATTTAAGAAAAAGGGGCTTGATTCTATTTAAAAAATAAATTTAATAGATAACACAAGGCAATGGCACGACACAGCAGCGCTGCCTTTATATCCACCAAAAGCGTTTATTATCCTTACGTTTAGAGCTTTCCAAAGCCGTGAAACTCCCAGAGTCATTATATTTCATATTGGTAGCAGCTTTCGAGTGACCAATGGTTCGCTCATATTTGTTCGACTACTTAAAATGTTACAAAGTTTTTATACATATATTTTAAACTTGTTTTTAAATTATCTACATATTATTATAATATTAAAACATCATTGCTTTATACCTTATTGAAAAATTGTCTGAGATGCTTCTCTCGTTATCATTGCTTCTTTTAAAATCATGGCGCATACGGTACTAACTAGCGTTTATCATTTGGATGAATTTTGAAGGTCAATTTTAGAAGGAACTATCGCTGTACACCCGGTATTATTTGCAAACATAATTGTATGTAAGTAAATATGTAACTGAGTATACCTTTATGTAACAAAAAATAAATCTCAGCCGTAATATATTTGGTAGTTGATACATCCATGCAGTGTGTTCTTCTAGTAACTTTCTTAATTCTTTAAGCTCAATATTGTTATTTTATCAAATTTTATACTACAGTATATTTCTTCCAAATTTGAAGAGAGTTAACGATAATATGATGATATACTAAATAGAATCAGATTCGGAAATATTCGAATCGGAACATTGTGATTCGAAATTCGATTCGAAAAAAAAATATTCGAAACTTACATCCCTAATCGGGACTAAATTAGTGTTATATATGGCATTTTGAAAGTCATGTATCATATCTATGTGATGCAGCTTGGGTGGTGACACACGGTTTTATGTTGTTTTTGCAAGGTATTCCACGGTTTTGCAAGGTATTCCACGGTTTTGCAAGGTATTTGGTGGCTTTACACTGTTTTTGCAGAGTTTTTGGTGGTTTTTCACGGTTTTTGCAAGTTTTATGCAAGGTTTTTGTCAGCATCATTTGAATTGTAATACTAAAAAAATAAATAAAAAATAAAATACTCACCGAAACATGGTAGAAGATATAGATTCCCCACTTCAAAACTTCTGTGTAATATTTCGTCATCATTAAACGTCACTTCATTGCAAGTTTTATCAGGTTGAGCTCCGGTGACGATGAGTGTGTAGAGAATTGAAAAACACGAGTCTCCGTTCGCCTAAAGAAATGGAAGCTTGTTATTGTCATCTCAACGGTATTAAAATATATTAAGTGAAGAACTATGTACATTGAAAATATCACAAATTGAAATTTACTATCAGTTGGGGTTACGCAAGATTAAGGGGGCAAGACCAACCACCTTTCCCTACTCTATGCCTCTATGTAAATCCACAAACGTAAAGATAGTGCGGCAAGAATAAAAAGCAAACAATAAAGAGAATAAAGAATAAAGCCGCACTCACACGCATGAGTTCTGAAAACTCAACTTCCGAGCTTACAAATTGAAATAGATATTGAACCTCGGGTGTCGTTGCTCGATAACCAGTTTTGGTTCCCCGCGGCTTCCCTTCCCCAGTAAAAATGTGTGTTAAATTTTATTTTATATTTCAATTTTGTATGTTATTTTTTACTGGATGGAAAAAATAAAATTGACTATGACTATGACTAGGATGACTATACTATTTGATACAAGGTCTTGCTTGCTGTTTCGGGGATGTCCCAGTTGCAACGGAGTGTTCTAGGCTAAGCTTGTTGGCTTAAATTGTTTAGCACATTTTCTTTTGGTTTCTGTTCTCCTTTTGTTTGTTATTACATTTCTATACTTCGAACACGATCACTTTGGCACACCTTTTGTTTAGGGTATTGGAACAAAGCTATACACAATTATTGGAACTATTATCAACATTTTCATCTCGGCTATATACATTTGATAACATTAGAAGAAAAGGTCCTTGCATAAAGTACTGCACTTGATTGGCAATAATCTCGTTATATTGATGTTCTGAAATTCAAACCCATATGGCAGAACAATATGCCGTCAATTCGAACGGGCATTGAAATGACGATTACGACCATAAATCCATCACGACTTCAAACTTTCGATACTCATTTGAACCATACAACCTTTTGAACCATATCTATCTACGGACATATTAGTTGGAAGCGTGAAGTATAAGCATACAGGATGTTCATAAAGTCCCATTTCAGTAACAATTGCAGTTTTGTTTCTCAATATATATTAACAAGATCAATTTTATTTTATCAGTGTCTATTTAAGTTTTTTTTTTTACTTCATCCAATACACTCTAGGAGGCCAACAAACTATATGTTGTTTCAAGAAGTCATTTTCGAGTTAAAAACTTTAATAGAACCCGGTATATAGATAGCTTTCGCAATTTTTGTATTAATACGCTTTTATCTTTTATTTTGAGGATCTGGATCTTACTTTGAGACAACTTGTATCTAAAGTGATTTTGCATTTGGAGTCATAGATTCGCATGGAATTTTTTCGCACTGTCAAGCATTTGGATTTATTCAAGTGTAAGTAAGTTCACATTATACAGTATTTGACGTCATTCGATGAAATGACCATGGTTCTCATCGGGCTATGGATGTAGACAAAAATGAAACGGTTTGTTACTTACCAGGAATGCTGTGAAAATTGTACCATTCTGATTCTCGGAGACAGCTGAGATTGAATAGCTTTCAGAGCGAGCGAAGAAGAACGAAGTGACATCAGATTCAACGTTTGAGACATTAGATTTATGCACAATGGTGTCTCCAGAAGAAATAATGCACTGGAAAAGATGGAATGATACTTTAACAGAATATAGGAAAAGGTTATTCGAAATGATCGATAAGGATTAATGTCTTATCAATTTCTTCCCTTGAGCAAACTTTTAATACATCCAGGTACCATACAACATTAGTGATTCACGATTAGGAATTTTATACCCGTTATTATATTTGAGATTATTGTTGTATTAATTTTAATTAGTGGAATGAGTTTATCCCGACGAAGACAAACAAACTATTCAAGGCATCATCACAAATTCCTAACAACGTTTCCCTAATTATAGTGCAGTTTATAATAGTTATTTGAATGCGAATTTCGCTTTGGGGTTGTAATGGTTGTAGGGGAAAGTGGGGAAGGTTGGGACACTTTTTTTCTTTTGCATATTTTGAGCCGTTAATTCTGCATATTCTCTTAAGTTTGCGGGACTAATGCATAGAGGGGTAAATGTAGTTTTTATTCAGCAACAAAGAAATTCCATTGCGACACACATCTTACTACCAAAATGCTTTGAAAAACGTCTGTCAAGTGTCCCACTGTACCCCACTTGTGGGGCACAATCGGACAGACCCTGGGGCACAATGGATCAGTCTGTCAAAATTCAACGAAGTATGCCCTTAAAAATAAGCAATTAATCCGCATAATCGTCTGAAGTACGGGGGGACTTCGAATTTGAAGATTTAATATTTTTAAAATCAATGTTCAACTGGAATTGTTCAGATATTTTGACAAAACATTTTGCAAAAAAATTTGATTATTTCCTTCCTCGAATCTAAATCTGGAAATATTATTGATTCTCGATATATTCCATATTGGGCCATGGGTCGAAAGAAACCATTATATTACACAAGATATAACGCATCTCTAAGTTTCTAATAGCACTTATTGTATTAAACACTGTCGAATTGTGGCCCTGTAGAGCATGTCCCACTGAACCCCCGGTCCATTGTCCCCATAGGAACAAATATTTCAGACCATCCACGGCAAATTCGGAAGGCACAGCCACTCGCTAACGTTAGGATATTTTACAGTGGGACTGACGCTAAAGGAATATCAGACGATGGTTTGTCCTCGTTGAAGGGCTAAACTAAAAAAAAGAAAAAACTGGAACGGTGATTTTTTTTTCAACCTTCCAAAACCAATTTCACCCCATAGCTTGCGCCGCTCTACCCGTCCGTTGTCCGTTCGCGGGGACGTTGTAACTAACCGAAGGGCTGATTGGAACATCGAGCCGCGGACAGGATTGTGGATATAGTATCAGTGTGATAGCTGATTTTCCACTGTGCCCCATGTCCCAACGTACCCCACCTTCCCCTATTCCATGGCTTTTAAGAGTTTCCATAAATTCTAAAAAAATCCGAGAGAGACTGTTGTTCATGGTTGATATTCTTGTATTAGATATTTTTCAACGTACACCAAGGTAACCTAACTGTAGCCCAAAAAAAAAAACAATGTTTGGGTAGTCTGTTTATCTGTACCGAATACTGCCACAAATCATTGTAATAGTTTAAATTAACTGAATAAGTTAACTACGACGAACGAAAAAAAAATTTAAGTCACCACCACGGGTTTAGACAAAGTTTCCCTAATTACAATGCATCTTATAAGAGTTATTCGTTGAACTCGACAACTCAAATTTCTGTGAGAATGTAATGGTTATATTTAGATGCTTTTAATGTCCCCAAAATTGAAAACAATTTGAAAAATCTCTAAAAATACTCCCGTTTAGAGATGACATTGATACATTTTTTCAATGAACAAAAGGTGAGCGTAGATGTAGCCCAAAACAATATTTAAGTAGTCTGTTTATCCGTACCGAATCCTGCGGATAAGTCCCCGGTCTATATTTAAACGTCAGGGTAATTTTTATCTTCTCGGTTACGATTTAATGAATAGTTGAACAAAGCTTTCTAGAAAGTCCCAGCAGCTGAACTTGGCTATAAATGTTGATATTACATTTCGGACTGGGAAATCGTAAAAATATTTATTTTGTCATATTTGGCTTCCTAAATATTTTGTAATTGATAACGTATTTGCTGTTTAGGCGACAGCATCATGACCCAGCGTGCGTTTACTTTGGTAATGCCGACTTTTGCAATTCGTAAAATCACAACAATTGATAACGTATTTGCTGTTAAGGCGACAGTATCTTGCCGCAAACATGCCTATATACCTTAGTATTGCTTGTAGAAGCCAACCTCAACAAAGATGTGATCAAATATTTTGACTATGCGCTTTTTCGAAAGCCTGGTGATAGAACGCGTTTCAATTAATTTTGCTTTTTTTAAAAATCGGAATCTAAAGCCACGAGAAACATTTGCAAAACAATTTTTGTTTAATTTTGAATTTTATTTTGATTCCACAACATACATTGCTAATAATTGCTTCCAAAATCCATGTTCTAGCATATTTTTAAAAAAATGTCGGAATTACAAATTGCAACGGTATTTTTGTAGGTTTATGGCCAACTGGTATTTTCTTGTATCTTTGTTTATAAATCTAGATAATTACCCTGTCGCAGTATTGAATCAGTCAATGGTTGGATGGTTGCCCATTTGCACGGGGGTTTTGTTTACTTCAGCGTAATCGCGGTTGAGTCTTTGTGTACGATAGTGTAGATAGAACAGGGGTACTTTTATCGCAATTGTTTTCGTAACCACGAAATTAAAGCTTCGCAAATACCAGGATCGTAGACATTATAAATACGGTAGTTTCTATATTATTAGTTTACCCCGTTGTTCTTCGAAATATTCGTTTTGGCTTACTAAAAACTTTGTAATTGATACCGTATTTACTGTTTAGACGACAGTACATTGCCCCAACCTGCCCATACCTCGGTAATGCCGACTTTTGCAGTTCGTGAAACGACAACAATGATGTGATCAAATATTTTGACTAGGCGCTTTTTTCGAAAGCCTGGTGATAGAACTCGTTCAAATTTATTAATTTTTTTTTAAATGGAATCTCACGCCACGAGAAACATTTGCAAAACAGTTGTTGTTTAATCGCACAGAAAAATGAAATATATTTTGGTTCCACAGCATACATTGATAATACCATACATTGCTCCCAAAGTCTATATTCTACCATATTTTTGAAATATGTCAGTATTAGAAAAAGCAACGATAATTTTGCCAACTGGTGTTTTTTTGTATCTTTGTTCATAAACCTAGATAATTACTTTGTCGCAGTTTTGAATCAATCAAGGATCGCCCATTTGCACTTCATGGGGGGTTTTGTTTTTTCAGCGTAATCGCGGTTGAGCCTTTGTGTACGATAGGTATTTTTTGAAATAGCATTTTTGAGTTCTATGAATGAACAGGGGTACTTTTATCGCAGTTGTTTTCGTAACCACGAAATTAAAGCTTCGCAAATACCAGGCTCGTAGACAATATAAATACGGGAGGTTCCAAATTATTGAGTTACCCCGTTATTCTTCGAATAGCACGGGGTGTAGAATTCCGTGGTAGCGATTGATCTGTTTGGAATGTGCCATGATGCAGTTCAAACACAACACATGTGAGGAGATTGAATTTTCAAAAAATTTCACTTCACTTCAAACCGCGACTGAGGTGAATTTGAACTTTGGTGGCATTTGAAATGCAACCTCAGCAATTGTTTGATGTTAGTGATTAAGTATTAACCTAGCACTAAGCCAACAATGATAGGGTTAGGGGTAGGAACCGAGTTCTGTGACAATGGTCCCGAACCTTTTATGACCCGTGGCCCTCTTGGAGGTTTTTCCCACTCATGTTTATTATTTCAGTCGTATTTACAGCAATATTGGTAGATTCTAAATCCCAATATGTTCAAACAATTCATGCTAAATAAAGTGAAAACACCCTGTGAAATAAACTCATCGAGCAATGAAACTAGAAAAAACGGGGAGTATATTGTCAAAAGAAGGGTAAAATCAATTTTGCGCCTAGCATTGTCGCCCCGCTCCGTCTGCTCTGTGGCTCCCAGGCCACCGGTTGGTAACCGCTGCTCTATGAGAATTACTTTATAAGATTTAAATGATTGAGATCACGTTAGGCAAGTGATGTGCGTACCAAAGTAGCTTTATGACGATGAAATCATATATACAAGTGGTAGCTCCATTTTTTGAGCGCTATTATATCTTTTCATTGAATATACAGGGTGTCTATAAAGTCCTTTTACAATTTCAATTTTGTTATGAATTCAGTTCTCAATATATCTTAACCAGTTGTTTTTTGATTAGTAATTGTTTGAGCATTTTTACTTCATTCAATACATTTGTGAGGGCCAAAACAATATATATATATTTATGGTATCAATAAATTCCTTTTGCAATTTAAAAAGAAAATTACGATTTTACAGACACCCTATATTGTTGTATCATTGCGGATACGTGAATGTATGACCTGCTCATATAAATATTTAGAGAGAATTTTTTGTGGAAACAAAAAATAAACAAACAAGAAGATATAATGAAACATCCATTACAGTAAACACACCTGGAAATCGGTTTCGTTAAGTATTTCTACGCTAGCTTCATAGATAAAATAGTCCGAACTCGCTTCAAAAAGTTCATCGCAGTTTATCGTGTACGGCCACCCAACTTCAACTTGTGACGTCACGGGATCTGATAACTGCGTTGAACAACTCTTCAAATGTTCAAGTTCTAGAAATAAAAACAAACAGCTTGTCCTATAATCAAAATGAATTTTACTATTTTTTAATTGAATTGTCGGGGAAAAATTCTTCATAGATAAAATATTCCGAACTCGCTTCAAAAAGTTTATCGCAGTTTAATATGCTCAATACGTAGTCCAAGGGCTATTAAAATATCGAATATTTTTTTTAATACAAATCAGCAAATACATCCGAGTTATTAAAAAACGAATCGCAGTTTAATATGAAGCCGGTTTCTATGAAATTTATCGAAAATGTCCACGTAAAAATTATACATGTATATATATATACACTTAATCCACAATTCAAATTGTTGCCACACAGTAAAGCGTAGGTTCACAAAGTGCTCAATACGTAGTCCAAGGGCTGGGTTTACTTATTAAAATATCGAATATATTTTTTAATACAAATGAGCAAATACATTCGAGGTATTAAAAAACGAATCTTAGCTTAATTACCTAGTTTAGTTTGGGGACATTAATCAGTAAATAACAATGCGTTTTTTTTTCCTAAATTTATTGCGGGGCTTCGTAAATAATATTCAATCTTTTTGCGGGCTCCATAACATCAGAAATTTGTGACCCCGGCAGTAGAGAAGTATTAGACTGACTGCCAAAATGACTAATTCTCCTCCACTATAATCTAACCACACAAGACGGGATATTTCTAAAAATCTTACCCGACTTTGAAGTTACTTCATCCACGCAGTAAACAGTAGTGAACTGCACAACAAAAAAGAACAATACAGTTGTAAAGAGTGTCCATTTATGACCAAAAATTCGGTGGCTAATTTGCGGGGATTTGGAGTCGCATTTATCCGCAAAAAGTAGTTTATTTTCTGACATACGCATTTCGTTCATCTCGGCGTTTACAAGTCTAAACTTGATCGTAAATATGTTTCTATAATAATAAATATTAAACATGATGGAAATTATATTTTAAGAAGTTTATCACAGAAACTTGTCGTATATACGATAAAAAATTACAAAATACGTTACAAGAATAAAGAAAAATATCGGAGAGAGCAGTTTGAGAATGGGAAAATATCATATTATAGGTTTTTCCCGAGTCAGACTTATTCACGAGCAACTCAAATATTCGTCATTGTCAAAACGTTGTCTCATAAGCTAAATGCAAATACGATTTGAATATCAGTCATGCAGAATTGTCGAGAATCAAACCCAAAATATCTGACTTGCAACTTCAGTATTAACAAACTATTATGCCTAGCATCACTTATTTTAGTATAAAATTGTATAACTTAAATCTATCCAGAAGGATATTTCCAACAAAATAGTGTTGTTTATTATTTGTAAACTATAACATAAATAACCTGTCTCTGGCGGGCAACTAGACGATGACGAATTTCGAAGACTTCGGCTTCTGCAAACACATATCCCGCATATGCCCGAACCGCGCTATTAACAAAATTTCTAATTAGTCATCTATGTTTTGGAAGGACAGTAATCATAGCTTTATGGGACCAATACAGTGGGTGAAACATTGAGCGTGGCGCTTGAATCCCAGAACTGTAATATGCGAGGCTGACATGGTTATCAATCAATCTGTTATCTACTACGTCATCTCGCGCTGTGTTTTGAAAGGCGGAAATATTTTGGCAGTTATCCAATTTATTCTACTCTTTGCAAAGTGGTGGGCATGACGCTTGACACTGAGATACCAACGTTTTCAAACATTTTAGACAATTGTTCTACAGTCGTCGCTTGTTGTTACGATTTCATGTTCAATACAACAGTTTTACGAAATTTAATTCTTTTCCCAATTCGTCCAAAAACACTTCAACTTAAAATTAGTGACGTCAAAACATCGTCAAATGACCCAAAAATGTATTCATGCAAAACGGGTTCATGTATCCCGAGATTAAAATATTTGAAAAATATTTGTGCGTAGTCTTAGGAAAGTCATAAAAATTTTAGTGTCTGCTAATTTGAGTCAGCGCCTGGCTCTATAGAATAGTTTGCGTTTTAGTCATTAAATCGTATTTTTTATGGCGCTTGAAGCGAACAATCGAATAATATATGAACGTTGTGATGTCATAAATATGACCCTTTCTTTTTTTCTGATCCCACAATACGTTTCATGATTTATAGATGTTGCAAGAACCTGATACATTACTAAATCAGGGTTAACTGAAGGGGAAGTTTTTGACCAGATAATGCGGAAGTGACCTGTCGCACGAAACAATAGGAAACTTGTCTTGCACATTTCGTTACTTATTTGACCTTTTATTGCGCTGACCTGCATGACATAATTTCGGAAATCACGATTGTTTATTGGTCAGATTGGCGGATCAATTTCTTGGACAAAATTTACGATGAAAACTTCAATATATTTTCATCACGATTGCCACTATACATTGGAATGATTAAATACCTCGCTATTACAAGCCAGGGCGATAGACACAAAACTAGGCGGATGAATGACAAAGCAGTCTGTCTGCCGTTCACACTGTCCTTGAGCCCAAACTAGGATGATAAATGAAGTTACCTCTGGATGAGGATAAAAGTATCATGTCGTAAAATATTCCCAGTCACCCTGATTAAACAAAACTGAAACCCACAAACAAATTTTTGAAAATTACAAACAATATGAGTTACGTGGCATATACATGTTTAACGCTCAAAAACGAAATTTTCGTCGCGCTTGGCAAGTAAGGTCAAGTTACGAGAAATCCACGCGTACATAACGTAACATATAGTTATATAGTATAAAGTGTTTGTTTGCGTTTACTCGTAGTCAGGATAAACTCAGTCGCTATTATCCGAAAATAGCTGTGACATAATAAAGCATTTACGACATTTCGAAAATGATAAGCTGTCATTAAAATGAGTCAAAACAAATTTTTCAAATCGTGAAAATTATGAAAATCACTTTTAAATTATGTTTTTGCGTTTTTATTATACTATTCATAATAATCAAATAAAACCGTTTCCAATTTAACCTATCACTGCGACTGGTGTTTTATCTTCTATGTTTTGTGCTTTGATAATATTATATCAACCAAAAGTCGCGATCAGGGTCTATTGCTCTCCAGAGAGACGCGCCCGAATCTACTCTGCTATTTATGCTTCGTTTTGTTATTTGAGTTAGAAGAAAACTTCATTTTGCGAAATAAATTCAGTTTTTTGAGTGGAAAGAGAAAGACATGCATCTTTCCTTCGCATATCTTCAGATTGGCGTCCTGTATATAGTAGCAGTTTGTCTCAAACTTCCTTTCACAAGGAATCACTTTTACGTAAGGCAACAGCTCAACAGAAATTATAAACGTACATATTTAAACTCTAGAATTGACTGACGTAGCTAACACAAGACACGAATCTCTTATCACAAGAAACAATTTCACAATTCGGTCGTGATCGGTCATGAACTAACTTTATAATTTATATCTCTTAACAATTACCTTCTAATTTTCTGTTTTTTTATTCTGCTCGCACAATCTGTATTCAACTCCTTTGCTTCATCTAACTCAACCGACTTTGCTAATGCCGAAATGAAATATTATTTTCCCCAAGTGATTGGTCACTCTCTCTCATAACAATTTCTAATAATAGAGCGCCGCTCAGTAGTAGATATTCCCAACTTTAAGGGATCTGAATAGTTCCAATGTATCACACGTCCCGTCATTCAAACCCCCAATAAAATGGTTGAAATAAGCTGTGCAATAATATATTTAATATTTGTGATGTTTCTAAGCCAAAATCTTCAACTCTTATCCCTACGATTGCAACTTGACAACTGAGTTCTATAAACTTTCTGTTCAACTAATTCTCTATCAAACGACGAGCATTGCGTATGAAATCATCGTCCCGATAATAGTTTGCATATAATCTTTCAAAGACCTTGTCTATTTAAGATAATATTATGTATCTTTGTTAGCTGTCCGCAGGCGTTTAGGCATTGAGATGTTATCACTTACCGATTGACCAATTCTTTTATGAGGTAACAATAGCGGTTACAAAATTTATATATATATAAAATTTAGAAAAATTTGTGGCATTTTGTAGTAAATTGATTTTACGAATACAATACTGTATATTCTAATACAAACAGAATTTCCACAAAAATTTGATGAATAATATGAATGAAAACCTAATAAAATAAGATTTGAACAAGCAGTTTCGAAAATTATGGTCGGTTTTCGAAGTTAACTCTGAATTAAAGTCGAAACTGAGTATAGGACGCCAGAAAATAGCTAATTTCATCAAAAATTGCTGCTGCGTTCTATATATCCACATATACATATGTTCTTATTTAGTGCTGACGTTTATTTAATGAGTGTTTAAATGTCATTTTTAATAGTCCATTGCGATTATCGGACCTGGCCATACATGTGTATCTATCGCTAACCTTTGAACAAGATTAGAGTTTTTCTACGGCTATTATCTTCGATAATTTTTAAAATAAATAAATAGTCTCTAAGAGTGATTGTGCGGTAACAATGAAAGTGTCAATTTATTTTAAATTATGTAGTTCAAAATGTCAAATTTGACAACGACATTATATTACATGTTTTAAAATTTTGAAATTATTTAAATTTAGATTGTTGACGGCGGATTTATGGTACAAAACCTAAATTCGAATAAATTGACGCGGTAACTGTACCCGCCATTACATCGGGATTAAGCAAGGTTTCTCGGTAGCATCTTGTATTTTGTTGGGCGCTCCAGAAGTGCATGTCCACTTCTATATTTTTCCGACTACTTTACATCAAGTTGTGTAAAAGGAAGGAGGCCTATTGGCAGGGGGTATATTTAATTGGTTAACACAGACAGTCCCCGGACTCGTAATTGAACGAAAAGAAGGAAAATCGGAATAAAATTATGGCCTATACCCATAACCTGTTACATACACTAGGGAGGTACCGTTGTCGTCAGAATGAACGTTGTTTGGGTAAAATTGGATGAAATTCAAATAGAAATTGAAAACATCGTAACTGGTATTTGACTTTCCAGATGGATACCCGTCTCAAAAATATCGTGCTACTTGAGTGAGACAAGCGTTAGTCAAGAGTGTGACAAGCAGCGCAAGTTTGGGACAAGTTTGACACGTGAAGAACAAATGGGAAAAGTGGGAAAAGTGCGCCATAACATCGCCCTCCAAAACTATACTAAAAGAAAATACTGAAGATAATTTACGAATACGTTTTAAACGTCAGTTAAAATTCGATCGTTTGAGACTCTCGATCTGCAGAGTCAGGTAAATTTTCCTAATCACAGTAAATGCGTCAGCACGTTTCAAATACATTTTTAAGTTCCTTTATTACGTTTTAGTTACTGATCAAGGTTATCGCTATCACTTTTACTTTTCATCAACCTGGTATGTATACATGTTATTTTAGGTCACATAAACTCGAAATAAAACGAAAGGTAAAAAATGCATTTCGTTTTTTTTTTTATATGATGACCAATGAAATGAAGTTTAAACAACTATTTTTGACGCAGTAAAAAAAAAGTCAAAAGGTTGAAAATGATTTTGATATTGTTCCAATTACGTACTATGTAAAAATATTTTTGACAGGTTTTTGAGTTTTGTCACAGACAGAATAATTTAAGTTTCTTGACGTGCAATTTTGGCACGTTGCAATAGGTCGACTATTGAATTGGAAATACCTTCAATTTTGAACAACAATAATACTTTTTAAGTCAGTTAGAAAGTCGTACCTACCACACGTTTGAATGTTGAACAAATGAGTAAAAACTTCAAGTGATCAAAATATCGCTTCACTTAACATTAGTTAAGGGACAACATTAGCAAATTTATTAAATTTACGCTTAATTGATGTTCCCGGCTGTTTGTGAATTGTAGTTTTCTTTAAAACCTACTTGATACAATTTTTCTTTACAAACATTATTGGCTAAATGATATATTTGATTCATATCCTTAA